CCGCCCACAGGGGCTGCTTCCTGCCACCACCCAGCCTTGCGGGAGGCCACATCGGGTGGCCCCCTCCCTGCTCCAGAAAGTTCCCAAAGGCACGAGGAGCCTGGGAACGGGGCCACAGGTCACGGTGCGGGCCCCGCCCTCCCAGGCCTGCCAGGAGATGGCATCTGTGCCGCCGGGTGGGAGCTGGCCAGCAGGCCGTCACAGCCCTTTCCCAGGCCATGCCGCCTGCTGGGGGCGGGTGATGGGTGGGGAGAGTGGGCCTGGCCGGGGAGGGGCCCTCTGAGACAGCACGGCCCCAGGACCGGGGCTCAGGGTGGGCACGACACCCCCAGTGCTGCCCCCTCAGCCCTCCTGGCCATCAGTTCCTCCTCCAGCCATTCCCCAGGCCCCTCCCCCATAGCTCCTGCAGTCCGGCCGGTTGACCCCCCTGTCCAGCTGTTCCTGGTGTGGACAAGCCTGTGGACGCCGCATGGGATGTTGTCCCCACTCGGGTGACACGGCAATGTTCACGAAGCCAGAGGTCCTCCTCTGCCCGATTCTCAGCTCCTAAGGTGGCTGGTTCTGATCCCCAAGCACTGAGGGTCTCGGGCTCCGGGGCTTCTCGCCTCTCAGAGCTGGGAATCCCCAGCCTCGTCAGCTGGCTCAGGGTCCCCACAGGGAGGCTTAAGAGCCCCCTTCCCTGCCTCCCACATGCCCGGCAGACACCGGGGAGCATGACCCCACCTCTGTGGGCCCAGCTTCAGCTGGCACTGGGAGCCAAGCTGTGGGTGGTGCCTGGGCGTGTCGGCCCCAGGCCTCAGCCTGCTCTTCCCAAGGCTCATCCAGGACCCCCTCCCGGCCAGGCCCTCATCCCACCGAGACATTCCCTGCTCCCTCCTGGCCTCTCCAAAGTGCAGCCCAGCCTCCTCCAGGAAGCCCTCCTGACCCAGCCCTCCTAGCACCAGGAAGTCACCATCTTAGAAAGCCGCGGGGGCCCCAGGTAGCCCCTGGCCTCAGTCTGCCCCTCCCTGGAAGGCAGGAGGTTGGAGGGTCAGCTGGGCCCCCTGAGCTTTCTGGTCCTGCCCCCGGGAGGCCTGGAAGACCTCAGCCCGCCCACAGAAGGCCCGAGCCAGCCGTGTGCGCCTCCCCGGGTGGTCTTCCCAACAGCTCTCGGAGCCTCCCATCCCACGCGTCCACACGCCATCAGCTGTCCCGCTTGATGGCCTTCCTTGCTCTCCAGTGAGCCCCTTCCTGCCTGTGCATCAGAGCCGACTGCCGCCTCTAGGCAGCCCTCCTGCCACGCCTTGGGCCTGGCCCCCAGCTGGCCTCAGTGATAGGCGGGTCCTCACCCGAGACCCTGCTGCCCAGCACCCACCCACCCACTCCACCCCCAGGCCACGCACCCCACCCCACCCCACCGCACTGGGCAGCACGACTGGCCTCCTGGGGAGGGGCTTGTCTCCAGGCCAGGCTGTGGCGCTCACCCGTGTCGGAGGCCGAAACGGCTTTGGTCAGCATGCTGTCGGTGACCACGTTGAGGGTGCAGAGGCTGAAGACCAGGCCGGGCACCAGGAGGCAGAAGTGGAGGATGCCGGACATCATTGCCTGGACGGCAGGCAGGGGCTGCGCTGAGGGGGCTGCGCGGGCCCCGGCGGGGCCCAGGTCCCACGGCCCAGGGAAGGCCAAGGGGGCGGGGGCGGCGGG